ATGGTTATTAGACCTTCATGATTATTTTTACTAGCTCCAAATGGTCACTTTCACTATACTATGAAGCTAGAAGAGTTTCATTTTAATTATTCTCATTACAATACATATGCTGGGTGAGCTCTTTAGTCTTCTAGTTCTAACTTTGAAATATGAATGAAGTTTTTTAAAGTGATTTCTTTTAGTTTCTGTTACGTGCCTTAACTGGATTTCCAGTCAGTTTCTCAGATTGAATATACCCACACCCAATACATGGGGTGAATTTAAAATCCAAATCACATTAAGCACCCTTCTATTTCCTTTGATAGATTTTGTTAAAAAAAATCTATAATTTCATTAAAGCTAAATTCTTCACTACCCTCAGGTCATAACATCCCATTTGCATACACATATAGCCCTACTGCCCATTTGAAAACTATGATTTTTCTTCTAGGCTGTTGATAATCAAAGCCATCAAGGTAAGGATTTCTTTCCTGGTGTACATCCACTAATGACCTTTTGGTATTTTTGATTCAACACCTTAGGGAGCTAGTAGTTATAACCAGGAAACTAGGCAGAGGATTGCTGGCAGCAGTTAAGGAGAATCCCAAATAATATCCAAGTGGATCAATCACAAGGAATATCTTCCCAAGCAAGTGAAGCAAGCCTTCATTGAGGTCAACTCATGTATATTCATTCACTAATGGCTGTGATCAAGAGCATTTTTATGTTTTTTTGTTGTTGTTACATGAAAAAACAAACAACAAATTCAGAGATGGCTCTGGGTAGAAAATTTGGAAGTAAAATGAGAAAATTTTATTGATGCCCCTAAAAGGGATGAGTCCTGACCTGGTGACTTCATGATTTTCAGTTGTTCTTTGTAAGTTAGCCAGACTTCTGACACTCCAAAGCAAACAAAGAAGCAGATTTTCTGCCATGTAAAGGAGCAACAGGCTGTTGTTGTTTTTCCTGGAAGCCTACGTGATTTTTCCTCAAAGTATCAACATAGCATCTTCAAAGTCAGCTTCTGTGGCTGGAGAGATGGCTAAGAGGTAAAGTTCACCTGACTACTCTTCCAGATGGACCCAGGTTCAATTCCCAGCACCCAAAAGGTGGCACACTACCATCTGTAACTCCAGTCCCAGGATATCCAATGTCTTCTGGTCTCCAAGAGTACAGCATACATATGGTACAGAGACACACACATAGAAGCAAAACACTCATACAGATAAAATTAATGACAATAATAAATAATTGTCCTGTTTCAGTTTTGCTGGTTGGAGGTGTCTTGATGAAATCCTTCAAATCTGAGTTACGTGACACCCTCAACTCTGTATTACCTCCCTGATTCTGAATATGTTTATAAATGTAATTTTCAGAGAAAATCTTCAATCTTTAGTCTCAGAACAATATCTATTTGCTTCCAGTACATCAGCCTTCTAAATATTTGTCCAAATGCATCCTTGTAATATTTTATTAACTTATAGACCTACACCTCCGAACTCCATGTTTTCTGACGCAGGCATACTATGGAACTATTTTTGTTTTCCTGGTTTCCAGTGGTCAATAGACCCTGTTAATGGCTCTGGATTACATGTGCCTCTCTTCTCATGTAACACATGTAACTCAGTCAGAGTAGCACAGTACATTCACATGACAAAAGCTTGCTGAGCAGTTGTTAATTACTCTATCCTTAAAATTATATTATTTCTTAAGATGCAATGCATTTATTAATGGGGAATAAAATTGATCACTGGTTTGTAATTTCACAGGAGATTTTGCTTGAAAACTGATTTTTCTCATTTTTGAGGAAGCACATAGTTCTGCACAAATCTGGTTTTTTTCTTACAAATCCTTCGCAGTTCTCTCAATTGTTATGATTCTGATCATAGAGCTATCTATCTCTGTGGAATGCCTCTGTCTGTGCAAGTATGTTCCAAAAACCACCATAGTTGTCTTGGCCAAACTCTTTTCCCTGTGTAGGTCTGACTGCCATGAAATAAAAGAATGATGTTTATTGTTTGGGGATTAGAATTTTAATTGTAGGTGCAACTAGTAATCCTACAATCTTCTAGAAAAAAAGCCATTTGGTGCAGGGAGGAGGGGCTTGGACATGCCTCAACTGAATGTACCAGGCTCTGCTGACTCCCCACGGGAGACCTTGCCTTGGATGACACCAGAAAGTGGAGGGTTGGGGGAATGCTGGGGGGTGGGAGGAGAGAGGACAGGGGAATCTGTGGTTGGTATGTAAAATGAATAGAAAATCTCTTAATAAAAAAGCCATTTCTAAATTTTTGTGGAATATATTTTTTTAACTGAGCAAAGATGTATTAGATTTGTTTATGCTGTGGAATATTTAACTGTGTAAAGGTTTTTTTTTTTTTTTGGTTTTTGTCAGTTAATTTGTTCAATTTTTTTCAATCTTATTGGGTTTGCAAATACTTTCTCCCATTCCTTAAGTTGTCTTT